CATATATATTTCTTTTTTTTTAAGTGAATGCTACTGCCTTCTCTGGATGATGATTGACACACACACAGGTTTTTGTTCAGTGTTTGACCTTAGCTATTTTTGAAATTTCAAGGACTCCTTTTGTTCGGGGTAAATTTAAAAACCAAAACACATTGTGTTTTGTTAACTCATTTCTTCGATGCCCTGAGTTTTTCTGATTTGGTCCTTGAATGTTCATTTCTATCTTCTGCTGTCTCCTGCTAGGTAACAGTTCACTGATGAAGAAAGGAAGCTGTCTAGTAAAACAGTTCATCAATACTATTTTTATACTTTCTCCCCAGTACTGGCCCATAATTATTAGCTCTGTATAAGATTAACCTTTTAAAAAAAAAAAGTAGTAGGGAAAATAGTTACAAAAATGTCGTCTAGCACTGTGATTTCTACTGCTGACAGCATATTGCCTCAAGCATGTGTTGCTCACACTGAAGACCCTTGGAGCAGCTGATGACCTCCTTCCTTCACATGCCATGACCAGATACCTAAGAAGCCAGGTGTTTTATTTCATACCTAATCTGACGGTCGGCATCAGAGCCTAGCAGATAACTTTTCTTGTGCTTTCTATTAAGACATTTGTTTCACAAAGTATTCAGGTCTTTTGACCTTCTCAGTTATCAATGACTGAAAAGCCAATGCAGTTGTGGTAGACTTCCATCCCCTCCTGGTCGCTGGTTTCTCTAGTTGTGTCAGCTGCTGGTTGTAACGTATTCAGATTGGCAGGGCCTAGATTCAGCAGTGTAGGGTTTCTGCGGAAGTGACTGGTTGACTGTATTGAACATTGAGCAAATTAAGATGAAAGAGCGTGGAGAAGCCTTAGACTTGGGAAGGGGAGAAGTAGTCAATATTGACTTAATATTGAGCCATATCTTAATAGGGAGGTGACACCGAGAATGAAAACAGATCAATGAAGATATTTGAATTAAGTGGAGACAGACAGTTACGTGATCTCGGACATTGTAGAGAGTGTGGTGTAGGTCTGTGAGGTTTTCTTTTAGGACTTAAAAACAACCTAAGTAATATCTAATGGGAGGACCTCTGCGCATGCCAGCAAGGAGGAGTGGAGCAACTGGAGGAGGGAAGCAAGAGGAGATAGGTAAAGTCAAAAGAAAGAGGAAAAGGAGGAGTCTATAGACAGTGCAAAGGAGTGAGGTTGCATTTGAAGTAGGAAGAAAGCAGCTGTAAACATCCTACTAATTTGTTGTTTCTTCCCTTCAACTTCAAAACATAAAAGAGGAGGAAGAGGGTGTATATGTAGTTAAAAGAAAAAAGAATCGTAGATTTCTGACCTACATGTACATTAACGTGCATTTGTACTGCTCAGTCAGGAACTAAACAGCTGAAGGGCTGCAGGGCAGATGTAATTTTGGACTTTCTCCAGGCCCCTTCAATAGAAGGCATGGGGGGAGTTCCGATTAAGAGCGAAGGACATCTTTCATGGTCTCTGAGGGCTGAAGTGAATTTTATTGACTGACAAGCTACGTTTAGGCACTGGCAAAAAGGATACCTGCAGTACACTTGTAGAATGGTCAACTTTGAGCTAGCAGTAGAAATCTGGAGCTGGTGGGGTGTTTATGTGACGAAATGCTTGTCCGGTAGCAGAATATCTTGTATCACCTGGGTAAACCTCTGCCACCATTTTTGGGGGGGGATGCATGCCTCTTGTTCCCAAACCATACAAGGATTTCATTAAAATAATACTGATCCATATTCATTTTGGTTTAATTTGTGAATTGTATAAACACAAGACAGAATTGAATATATTCAGCTTTTTTTGAGTGTAGAAAATTGATTAATACTCAGCTTGAAAGGGTAAGTGGCCATTTGCATTAGGTAAAATGATGACATGAGCCTTTCCAAAGTTATGCCAAGATACTGGAAAATAGAGCTAGAGCATGCACTGATGCTCTAGTAAACCGTCGTCTTGTAAGCGGAGTAAGTTCCCTTCTTCCCACAAACTGATGAGTGTTCTCTGCTTTCAAACCACTGACTACACCTAATGCTTGTGGTTCGTCCCATATGGTTATCATGTGCTAAAGGTGGAAAGTGAGGTAGAAAGATCAGAACGCTTAGGAATTAAAACGTCTGGACTTTGGTTTCAGTTGCACATCAGACTTCTGGAATAACCTCTTCGTCAAAAAATGCCTCCCAAATGCCACATAATGGATGTTAAACATCAGAAGTGGGGCGAAATGCTTTAGGGGTTTGCATGAAACGTGCTAAGTGCAAATACAAGTGTATTACAGAGTGGTAGCTATTTATTTGTATTTGTTCTTCTGTCCTGGAGGTTAAAAAAGCAGTTTGCCTAGGTGTTGGTTCTACAGTCACCTGAATCTGCTTTTTTGTTACAGTAAAGCTAGGTCATATTGCTGTCGGCACCAGAAAGCAGCTTCTTTTGGACAAATCGCAGTGACTCTTCTGATGTGAGCTGTGCTGTAAGAGCTGTTTAGTATTTTGGTGTTTGGTCCTTCCTTCCTTAGTTTTTCGATTTAATGTTTTAGTTCTATTGTAGACCTACAATTGAAGGTATTGAGAGTATTGTGTATTTGACAATGCACTGGGGCCACTAAGTCTGACAGTCCGAAACAGGAGGTGGAAGGGATGAGATGGAAACTGTCTAGGCTTCCCATTGAGGCTTGCTGTGGTGTAATGCTTCTTGGTGTTTGCTGTTCGGAGTCCCAACGTGGAGGTAGTGAAGATTGCTGGAAAAAGGCGTTTGCTCTCTATCTTCTGTCACGCTGAGGCTAAAACTGGTATTTCTCAGAGCTGTTTAGTGAACTCCTTTATATGCTGTGTGGCTGGCAAGTCAACTCCTGCTATCCAGACAGTAAAAACTGGGATAGCCATTCTGAACTATGTGTGGTCTTCTGAACAGTACATACATCTATGTAGTGGAACGAGGGGCCAAACAGGCTTGGGACCCCTGGATGCTGCTGTGGTACAAATACGTATTATTTGTATGTTTTGAAAAGCAGTGACATGTTTTACTCTTTGAGATCAAAGCTGTCAAAGGTGCAAGGTGAATTTTACCCCTACAGTCCCTCAGGTTCAACTATTCTGTCATGGAATATAACTGAAACTCGTAAGAGGAGTCTTTATGGTGTCTTTTGTGGACGAATTTTCAAGAGCAGCTGTTTATTGAAAGAAGCAAACTGGGAGAAACATCTAGGAGACTTAATGCTCTGTAACTTCTGGTAAAGAAACAAACAGAATTCTTGGTGTAGCTAATTAGTTAAGACTTTAACAAGTTTAGTTAGGAGCTGTTTTTCCATGGACTTAAAGGAAATTGTGTAAAGCTGACTGGCTTCTCAGTTGAGCTCTGGAGAAGTTGCCCAGGTCCCTGCTGCACCACGTTGGGAAGAACCACCTGACGTAGTCTGAAATTCAGGGTTTGCTTTTGCAGTTGAGGAGACCCCTAAGCGACTTGCAGCTCTGAAGAGTGTCCTTAGAGCAGATCTCTTGATACCAAGTTTTTCAAATCTCCACCAGTATTGCCAAGGACATTTTTTTCCCCCTCTAAGACTTCAGTTGTCTTGATTTTTGGGAAAATGGGAAACAAGCCTCATTAACAGCAATGACAGATACTCTGGTCTTGTGATCAAGGCAAAAAAACCAAACCAAAACAAAACAACCAAAAAAACCCAAAATAAACCCAAAAAAAACACACACAAAAAAATGGGGAAGTAAGGGATTACCTTTTAAATGATGAGGGTTGTTGCAGTAAAGCAGATGTTGCCTGTTTTATATGTGCTGAGTTAGAAAGCTAATCATAGAATAGTTGGGCAAATAAAATGCAGGGCTGCTATCAGAATTACACTTTCAACTTGTTTACCAAAAAAAGGGTTTGTTTCTTTTCCTGGCTTCCTTCCATTTATTTCTTACAGTTATCAACAAGGAGGGTGAATTTTCCATGCAGCTTTAGTCTGCTTCTATTTCTGCTCCTCTCTCTCCCTCTGAGCAGACATTCATCTCTTTCAGTCCCAGTCCCCCCCCGCCTTTTTTTTTGTTGTTTCTCTGTTTTCTCTTCAAATGTGTAAATCTGCATCTCACCTTCTCGTGAACATTTTGGGGAACAGCTATACCTGCTGTGTATTGCTTGGCAAGTAATTTGGCACCCTTTGCACTAATGTGCTATATTTATTTTTAATTTGTTCCTTTGTTTCACGGAGCAGTTGGATGCATAAAAGCAAACAAGTTGTAAGGACCTAAAAGGTAACATAAGAGATGAGTAACAGTTAATGTGGATTTTGCAGGAGCAAATCATGCCAAGCCAACCTACTTTCCTTCTGGATCTTACAGGAAGAAGTAGTAGTAGATGTTTGAAAACTTGAGAGTCAAGACATGCACTAATTTTCTCATGAGAAGCCTAAGAAAACAGTGGACCTACTGGAAATCCCCTGAAAGGCTTACAAACTGGTTTAGTTGTTTTGTTTGAGCATAACAAGAGGTTCAAGATAAAATTAGGATGAGATATTTAATGGGTTTTTGCAGACTCTTTAGGCATTCTCACAGGATTCACTGCTTTTCACAGATTTGTTAGATAAACTTAATGTCACGTCGTGAAATGGATCTCTCTCTGGTGGTGACTCTGTGCTTGAAGGATGTGACAAGCTGGCAAAAGAGCGTTAAGCAACCTTGGATGTGGTTCAGTCAGGACAAATGCAGAATATTGGGCTTTGATAAGAGTAATCAGGTGTGTAAGTGGAAAGTGGACGAGGATTGGGCAGGCGGCACCTCTTCAGAGGAGAGCTTGATACACAAACTGACCACGAGTCAAGCGGGTTGCTGCAGCATTGCACAAGCTGCAAACATTGAGCTGGGCTGTACAAACAAGGGTGTTGTAAGTTGGGCACAAGAAGCCACCAGCACCCTGGGTCTAGTTTTGGGTACCGTACCCGAGAGATTTTTTTAGCAGGGAGGGAGAGAGAAGAGGGAGAGGTCCCCCAAAGAGACATAACTTCTCCGTCATGGTAACTTTCTTTGCGACAGCCCCTCACGTATTTGAAGGGGGTAGTGGGAGGAAGGAGGGTGGGGGGAGCTGCGCAGTTTTCCATGCCTTCTGGGAGCGGGACAAGGAGGTATTTGCTTAAACTGCACTAAAGGTGATCTGAGCTACCTGTTGGAAAAATCCTAAATGCATGAGTAGTGAAGGACTGGGAGAGACGCCCTGGGGAAGCTGTGGAAGGAAGGTTTCTTAATAAGCAGATGTGACGAGCATCTCTTGAGTGCAGTTTCTGTGGAGTTGCAGAGTGATTGCTGTGGAACAGCAGATTGCTTCTGTTTTTTCTTACAGCCCTATTTGATTTTGTAACCTGAGCCATTGTAATTGAAGGGCAGTACATGCCCAGTGTCTGCTTGCAAAATGCCTAAAACTTTGGTTCTGTTACAAACAAAATCAGACTTTGAACGAGAGGAAGCACCCTTGATAGCAGCGGTGCTAAGAGTAGGTAACGGCGGCTTTGTCTTTTGATGGGAGAGTGGCCGCTTTACTGTGAGCGCACGTGTGGTTGGCTGCGGGCTGCTGAAACCCAGAGCCGCTGCATCTGCACCAAAGCACGTGCCCCTGTGCAGCGTCCACCGTCGTCTTGCATCCTGAGCGCACGTCCCTGTCTGCGCTCTGGCTCGTGGCAAGATGTGAGCTAAGTGCGGGCCATCATCATCCTTCTCCCCCTTCCTCCCCCTGCCCCAGTGAGTGCCCCCCTTCTTTGCAAGGAGGTCAGGCATGGAAGAAGGGAGGAGCAGGACTGCGCCGTACGATGCAACCTGTGCACTTCAGGTGCACACAGCCAGCTTTGACAAAGGTTTTGCAAGCTGAAGCTTTACATGTAGGTGGGTTTGTAACAAACTTTGTCAGTGCTTCTGGTTTTTATTGCCAGATGTATGCCTATAAAGGACAGAGTGCTGCTCTGCAGGCTATACTGACAGTTTGGTTTCTTCAGTTACATGAAAATATGAGGAAGTGCTTCATTTTGGTAATACAAACGACACTGTTTAATCCCACTTATGTTAATCAGATGTAGAAATAAGTACTTTTCTTGGTCATACGTCACCTTTTCTTGCTAAGCTGTTTGCTCCTGGAAAGGGAATATTTTTGTTAGCAATAATCTAGAGGAAAAATAGTCACCACTTAATATATTTCAGTAAAAAAATATGCTCAGTGTTTTGGTGGTTTTTTTTGGTTTTTTTTTTTTTTTTAATTTTGTCAGGGTTTTTTATTTTTCTCTCTAATATTGAAATACACATGCTGATTTAAATCTTTACCTTCTTCTGTTTCGGTCTTGTTGATCATCTTGTTTACGCATGTGTTTTGATTATTTGTGTATCTCTTGCTTCCCAGGAGACAAAGATGGCAGCAAAGTGACTACAGTAGTGGCAACTCCTGGACAAGGTCCGGACCGACCACAAGAAGTTAGCTACACAGACACCAAGGTGATTGGAAATGGATCTTTTGGTGTTGTGTATCAAGCCAAACTCTGTGATTCAGGAGAGCTTGTGGCCATTAAGAAAGTCCTGCAGGATAAAAGATTTAAGGTGAGCCTATGTATAAGTTGAGAATGTTTTAATGCATGTTATCTCATTTTCCATGTCTTTGATGGCAATGTTTTTGATTTTTGTTTTTAAATGCACATAAAAATTTCCAAGACTGAAGATTAAAGAGATGGTTTGTGATAAAGGGATACTTGAAAATCAGTGAGTCACTGTTGTTATGATTGTTTGGATTAGTGCAAAACAGGAAGCTAAAAATCTTGATTTGATGTTGTGGTGCTCTTTCCAGGTCGCAGACTAGATTTTTCAGGCAATGAGCTGGGGAAACAAAGGAAAAACTTGTCTTTTTTTCTAGCATAGACTCTTCTCCAGTCATTAGTAATTAAGCTGCTGGAAGGGACAGAAGCCTTTGGGCTTTGTTCTTGGTTGTTGCACCTACAAAGTGGGAGGCTGTATTTGAGTAATTCGGAAAGTCCCCAGGCCAAGCAAGAAAATAACAAATACTGAGCCCAGGTCAGTTTGGACTGAAGGCAAGTTATTTCCCTTCGTTATCTGATTTATAAACGTAATCTACTCTGGTGGTTTTAATGGACTAGTGATTCTTTATTCAACAAGTAGCCTTCCAAAAAGCTATATTTTTATCTGGTGATATTTAAACCAAATAAAAGCTAAGGACCATCAGCGACCTCATCACTGCTGTTAGTCCTCTGCTTGGTGTGCTTGACTGCTTTCCTGTATAGTCAAGTGGCCTGCAGCTAAACTTCTGCAAGCAGTGAATGATAGCAAAGGTACGGGTTTTAGCATCTGAAATTAATGGTGTGGGTTTTAGCATCTGAAGGCCACAGCTTTCATGACTATAGAAGCATAAGGACAATACATAGAGAAGGTGCCAGGGATAATCTTGTTGGCATGGTCTAGATACAAAAACTACTGACCTTAAAAATAGTTGAAGCATATTTAAGGAAAATTAGCAACTTGAAGCTTCTTTCTTACAGTTTGATACTTAGTGTTAGTTTTAGAAAGACTTCTAGAGGCTATTGGATGAGAAATTTTATCATTTCCTCCTCAGTTTCCTCATTTTTTCAGTAAGACTTCATGCACAGCTAGCTTCACTGGTAATGTTTGTAACTTGTGTCCTGTTTTGGTAGCAAAACCATTCTTTTAAAGTGTTTTGAAGGAACTGGTGTATACCTTTTCCTTGAGTCTTGAAATTGATGCTGTCATCAGCATATCACAGATGCATTAGACGAAGAATGGAAAAGGAAAGATATGTTTAAATTAATGTAATCATGCAGCATTGTTTAACTTCTAATTGAGATAGGCGTGTGAAGTTCTTACATTGTTCTTACATCTGAGTTATTTCAGGACTGTATTATGTGTTGAAGGCCGTGAGTGCTGGGGAAGCATGCAATATGATGCAAGAGTGGATTATTTTAGAAGAATGAAAGAGGTAGAGGAATAACACAAGCTCTAAACCTAGTCATACTTAGAAGAGCTCTTTGATCTCTTCCCATTGCATAGTTTTAGGAGGAAGGCCAGGACATTTCCCTTACCATGTCATGCTTGGTGGATGTCAGCTAGTACTTTGGACCAAAATCTTTGATTTCTGTAGTCTCATGACTTTGAGGTTGTCTAGGGTGTCAAAATGAAAACTTGGCCGAGCATTTTAGTTCCTTCCCATCAGATCCTAGTAGTTTGTAATACCTTAATGTTTTGCTTTGTTTTGGTTTTTGGTGGGTTTTTTTTGTTTGTTGGTTTGTTTTTTAGATAAATCTGTATTGGGCATCTAGAATAAAATGTAGGTCTTTGTTTTTCTTTCAGTAGTTCATTCAGTGGCATTTTGTTATCTAACTATATATTTCTTTATTTTGGAGTGTTTCTTTTAGTGATTAGAAAAAACATGATACCTTTTGAATATTATCCCTCTTTGTGTTTAAGGAAAAAACCCCAAAAGCTAAAAAGCTAAGTAGGGTGTTTCCAATCTGGACTCTGAACTAATTGCCCATGTATGATGACATAAGCTGAGACCATCCAGTATCTGGAGGCTTTCATACCCCTAAACTAGCTGGAATTAATGGTAAGTGCATGTGTAGATTTACAGATAGATAGCATTAATTTAAAAATATTTTTTTTAACTTCGTAATTTGCATGGGTCACATCTGCTGTGGTACCCAAGTTATGCATTTTTTCATGTTCTTATCCCAAACGTATGTCCCAGCTGCTCAACATCATCTACCTTTCGTCTCAGCTCCCTGTTTTTTCCCATCATTCATCAGTTTAGTTCTCCCTTTCTTTTCACATTCTGATCTGGAAGCGTATGTTCTGTTGGCAGGAGGTGTAAATTCCTGCAGGCTGGATGAAAGCCTCTGCCCGGACTGATTTGGAAGCTAGGGACATGTATCTTATATCAAGAATAGCGTACAATTACTTCAGGGTATGCCTACTCTTTGGGAACGTCTGATGTAGGTTGTAAATGCGGGACCAGATATTTTTACCAGTTAAACAGGGAACTTTGAATGTCTGTTGGCCAAACAGTTTGGTTGCAGTGTAGGAGCGGACCAGCCCTTCTGTTTAGGGAGCTGAGCTGTGGTGTGCAGCTCAGCTGGGCTGTAGCCACCCCCTCACGGCTGCCCGAGTCCCGATCCAAGCCCCGGTGAGTGGAGTTCGTAAGAAATCTGCCACTTCTTCCCTCTCATTAACGTACACCCCTGCTTTGGCAATGATGAGGAAAACCGTATCGTAGACAGCCAAAGGTGGCGGTAGCTTGTTTGATTTAAATCAACTTTATCAACTTCTGGGGGAAGAGAGGGAGCACTTTGGAAACACCTTTCTGCACCAGTCCAGTCTCCACCAGTGGTGGAAAGGCAATAAAAGGAAAGCGATGCATGGGAGTTGCTTCCTGAAGTGCAGATCATCAACAAAATTGTCAGCAGTATGCTTCAAGCTGGTGCCTGCTTATCTCTATATCCTGATGGATTTATCTTGGTACACACCATATAATTCCTTTGTTGTGATGTAGCTCTTAAAACAAGGCTTTTAGAAAAGCCAGCAAGAAGTCTTAAAGGGCATGATTCAGAAACTTAGGAAGTCCCAGCAGAGTGTAACTCCGAGGCTCCTGCATTTTGTGAATGTGGAAGGAGTTTATTGTGGAGACGTGGAAAATGCACCACAGTTGCCAATTTTTAGATCTCTGTCAGGAAGCTGAGATACTTTTATCCAGGTCTAAAGCTAGCTTGAAAGCTGGAATTAACGGGGGGGGGTGTGTGTGTCTTTTTTCTTTTTTTCCTTTTCCGTTACGATGACAACTTTCTCGGCAGCCTCCACTGTAGTGGAAGCAGCATTGGTCTACGCCAGAACAAAGCGAGTGTAAAATCTTTGCTAAAAAGTTGACTATTACAGTTTCTGTGATAGTAAAGGTAGTTTGCAATGCTCCTACTTCTTTCTACCCCCTCGTTGCAGTTCAGTGGTTCTTGGGCGCGGCAGCGCAGCTCCTGCACGGCTGTGTTTTAAACAGGGTCTCTGAAGTGCTCTGGGTTTTAAAATGAGTACGTCTAGAGTTCAGCGTAACCTAGAGCAATAGCATCAGTACACTAGGGATGGAGACAAATGGCTGAGGGGAATAAATAAAATAAAATATAGATATTTATGCTTAATTTTGGTTTGCAGTTCTTCTGCCTTCATTAAGCTAGATCTCCAAATTAAGCGTGAGGAACCGAAGTAATGTAATTTTGGACAATTACGTGGTACTTAGGTGAGTAGTTCACAAACTACATGCTGTTTATCGTTCACCTGTGGGACCATTGAAATTGTCTCTAGTCAGTATGGAGGGCCATATTTTCTTTGGGTTTTTTTCAGTTAAAAGTTTAACAAGGGTAAGAGAGAGATGTTTCTCTCTGAAAAATGGTGTAAGACAGCTATTCACAAGCTTTTGGGGCCAAAATCCATTCAAATGGCAAAATCTCCTAAAGACTGTGTCCCAGCTTTCCTAGATCTGTATTGTGTTTCTGCTTGTATCCCACAGATGCATAAGAATAGGTCCTTGTGCAAAACATTGATACAGATAGGTGCAGTTAAATTATTTATAATATTTTCAATTATTTTGATCCACATGTCTGTGCAGGCCCTTAACTGACACAGCCTAATTATGATGCTTGAAGAGAAAATACTGGTAGCATAAATTTTCTTGCACTGCTTTTGTTGGCGTGTTCATTGGAATATTATTCAGATTAAGAGTCAGTCATGTTGCTGTCTGGTTCTGCAGAAAGCAATAATAAGCAAGCAGGTATGTTAGCACAAATAGGAAATTCTCCGTCTAGTTTTTGTGACTTCTGTCATTCCATGCCCATTCGTAAGAAATCCTGTTGGAATGAATGCGTGAATCGCTAGGAATATTTCTCAGCTGACTGAGAATAAATACTTAAATTCTTCGTATCTGAATTGCAGTACTTAATGGTTCTACTTTAGTGCTAGGCTGTCGCCATCTAAATGATGAAGAGTGTTCATAATAATCCTGCACCTTTTCAGGCAATCTAGATTGGGCATCACATTTCTTGTTAATGGCTCACATAGACCTGAAGTGTGCAGCAAGAGAAAGCCAAATTCTGTAAGGAGAACCACTCATGCCATCCAGGCTGTCAAATCGTTCAGGGACTGCCTAGGTTTAGCGCTCCAGCTGTGTGTGCCCATGGCTTAGTTGCCTGAATTATTCAAACAGGCAGATCTTCTGGAGTGTGAGAGAATGCCAAACTAGGGCCCTGGTGGTCCATAAACATGAAGCCCTGCATTGATAAAGCTGAGGCCACTGAATAGTAGGCAGTGCTCTTTCCTATTTTTGCCTATGGAGGAATATACGTTGTGACTATTTGCATGATCTTTTTTTTTAATATGTAAGATCTCAGTGTTAATCTGAGCCTTAAAACCCAATAAAGCAGCAGGGTGGAAAAATAGGTCTATGTTGAGGTTCTGGTTTCTCTCTTTCTCTGCTGGGTGTGTGTACTTTTGTGAGCTATTTGAAATGCTTCTGAAAGGGCAACAGCTTTCCTTCA